GCCTCAGCCTCCTTTCTTTTCTTCCTTGTTTTTTAAAGTTAAAATTATTTAGAATTTTATTCTACTTATTTCTTTTTATACAGCAGGTTCTTATTATTATCTATTTTTTACATATTAGTGTATACATGTCAATCCCAATCTCCCAGTTCATTCCCCGCCACCACTTTCCCCTGCTTACGTTTGTTCTCTACATCTGTGTCTCTATTTCTGCCCTGCAAACTGGTTCATCTGTACCATTTTTCTAGATTCCACATATATGCGTTAATATACGGTATTTGTTTTTCTCTTTCTGACTTACTTCACTCTGTATGACACTGTCTAGGTCCAACCACGTCTCTACAAATGACTCAATTTTGTTCCTTTTTATGGCTGAATAATATTCCATTGTATATATGTACATCTTCTTTATCCATTTGTATGTCGATGGTCAGCCTCCTTTCTTGATGGGAGACTGTGGCAGGAGGGAAAACCAGACCCCACAGAAGTGCATCACGCCAAAGCTGGAAGGGACCACAGGGCTGCCCTCCTGGGCAAAGACTCTGGCGTCCACTTCCTGCATCACACTTTTTAACATCTTTGGGTACCATCTGTACTGTCCAACTCAGTTTTCACAAACCTAAAATTTATTTTTAAAGGAAACTATATCATTAGGTGAATAACCATGAGTACAAGATGGTCCCCCAAATTAATATTCAAACAGTGACGTCAGCTCCCCGAGGGCAGTGGTTTGTGATTTATTGCTGTATCTCCAGAACCCAGAACAGTACCTGACATATAACAGGTACTCAGCATATATTTTTTGAATGAAGGGCCGGGTAAATTAATAAATATAGAAAAGAATGTGTGACCTGGATGTGGATGCTTAGAGAAGGTGCAGAGCCTTTGTTAAAACAAGGAAAAGCAGGGACTTCCCTGGTGGTGCAGTGGGTAAGAATCAGCCTTCTAATGCAGGGGACATGGGTTTGATTCCCAGTTAGGGAACAAAGATCCCACATGCCATGGGGCAACTAAGCCCGTGTGCCACAACTGGAGAGCCCACGTGCTGCAACTACTGAGCCTGTGTGCTCTGGAGCCCACGCACCACAACTAGAGAGAAGGCCGTGTGCTGCAACGAAAGATCCCGCGTGCTGTAACTAAGACCCTACGCAGCCAAATAAATATTTTTTTAAAAAATGAGGAAAAGCGAGTATTTGAGAGGCATGAAAGCCACACCAGCCCCAAATGGAGACTTTCTTCTTCTTTTTTAAAAATTTATTTTATCAAAGTATAGTTGATTTACAATGTTGTGTTAATTTCTGCTGTACAGCAAAGTGATTCAGTTATACATATATATACACACATATATATACATATTTATATATATGTATATATATATATACACATTCCTTTTCATATTCTTTTCCGTTGTGGTTTATCCCAGGATATTGAATATAGTTCCCTGTGCTATGCAGTAGGACCTTGTTGTTTATCCATTCTATATATGAGTCTGCATCTGCTAATCCCAAACTCCCAATTCATCCCTCTCCATCTCCCTGCCCCTTGGCAACCACAAGTCTGTTCTCTAGGAGACTTTCTTCTTCATGTATCCATCGTGTCCAGGAGAGGGTCCTCAGCAAGGCTGCCCCAGTGATGGGACACATGCGTGTGGGGACAGACGCCAGCCCCCTCAGCCACATGTGGCCACTTCTGAGTCTACCTTGCTGAGGTGGCTGCCTAAGGGGACTCTCTCCTTTACAGGCCGTCCCCGCCTGGTAGGAGCCTGTGGGAGTGGCCACCATGCCACTTGGGCAGAGGCCTGGCACAGGAAGCCTGACGTCATCCTGACTCATGGCTCAGGCGGGCTGGGGGTGGTTGTCACTTGTCACTCTCACCTTCACACCTGCCTTGACCTAAGGATCATAGTCACACCATTCATTCCTTCCTCTCTCCCCGGAGCATCTGCTTGGGGTATGGGTTTGGAAGGAGGAGGGAGGACAACACAAGAACACAACACAACGCTTTGTGCTTCTGTGGAAGGGAAGTCTCTGCATGGGGCTGGGGGCCGGGTGGGGGCAGGGAAAGACCCGGAAACCCAAAGGCAGGAGGCGAGTGACACATAAACAGCCATCAGAATAGATGGTTACAAACAAGAATGACACAGAATCATCATTTGTTCCAGTTGGGTATTTTAATTAAAAAAAAAAAGCTGAGCCCCAAACTTGCTTGATAGTGTCGGCTCTGTAACAGCCAGGCCACGGAAACAAAACCCCCCAAAACCCGAGTATGGCACCATCCCCCCATCCCTGGCCCCTGCTGTCCCTTTACCACCTAGTGAAGAGGTTCATCCCTCCGGGACCTGCGACCTGCGGGGCAGCCAGTGTAACGGAGACCCCTCCCCACCCGTTTCTCCACCCACATGTCCAGACCCCTGCCTCGTCTCTGCCGGGAAATGGTGGTCCTCGAGGAGGTGGCAGAGGGGGAGAGACATTCCGGGGCTATGACTCACCAAGGGTGGGGGGATCTTTAGTCAGAGGAGAAGTGGGGGTGGGACTTGGGTTCCATCTTCTTCCCACTCTCTCCTTACCCCAAGCTTGTTGTGGGCTTCCACCCAGTTATGAGGGTGGGCGTTTCCCTAGTTTGGGAATAGGGGAAACAGGCCAAGGGGAGCCCCTCCTTCACGGCTAAGTCAGGCCTCCTTGAGCCTGTGTTCCAGAGCTGAAAAGGGGACACCCCAAAGCCAGTGGCATTGACGGGGGTACATACATGTAGTCACCTTGGGCGGAAATCACTGGTCCTGGCCAGAGCGCTGGGCAGGGCAACTGGGCACTGTGTCGCTAGCGCAAACCTTTGCCAACACACTCCCACTCCCACGTGGGACTTCCCGGCAAGGTGCACGCCATTCTCCCCAGGAGGGGAAGAGGCTCAGCCTGGCGTGGGAGTCCGGGGTCTGGAGCCCCTACGCAGCTGGACTGAATTTCATGCCTGAGCTAGGATCCCAGCTGGCCAGTCCTCTCTGCCCCTCCCCGTGGAGCTGGAAGCCCATGTCTCCCAGCAGAGCAGGTGGCACCAGCCCCATGGGTCAGCAAGACTGGACCTGCTATCCTTTTGTGTGCTCTGTAATTTACCCCTGGAGTCAGCCATTAAGTCATTTGCCGGGCTGATGCCAACGATAAGGGCCCGTATCAGTCGCTGGGATCTGTGGCCCAGACTCCTCGGCTCTGTTGTGGGCTCTGCCGCATCAGCCTCCAGACTGGCCTGGGAGGGAGGGATGGAACATTGCAGGAGTCCGGGCACTGCCACAGCCTCAGAGCTTCGGAACCAGTGTAGGTGAGCAGTTGGTCTATTATACACTCCCATCTTACAGGTGGGAACACTGAGGCCTGAGAGGGTGAACTGCCCCAGGACTCTTTGGAGTCCTTGCGGCTTCTTTCCCCCGCATCCCCTCTCCCTCGCAGCACACACAAGCTACCAGCTCTGTCTCCAGCAACAGATGATGCTCCAACACACACATACAGACACGTCAACATGCTACGGGGAAGAGTTTACAGTTTACAATCCAAGTGCAGGGCTTGGGGGTCCACGATGGGTCTAGTGGTAGCCCTCCAAGACAGTCTGGACCTAGGGGTCTGCAGTAGGGCTGGAAGGGTCTTACAAAGGGTGTAGAGTAGTGACTCAGGGGAGTGGGGGCCTTGGGGGTTGGGTTCTGAAATCCCATGCAGCTAAGGCGGGGATGGGGGTGGCTCCCACTCCAGGGCACTGTCCCCACGTACCTGAATGCCCCTGCTTTGGAGGGGTTCAGCTGCCAACATCTCTTGCCCCCATGGAGGGGCCCAGATCCCCCCACGCAGGGGCCCAGATCCCCCCACACACACCTGGAGCTCACCACATCCGGCCCCAGGGCTGGCAGCTGAGCTGCGGGCAGGCAGAAGGGATGTGGATTAACTAGCTTCCCAGTCTTACTGCTCATCGCCTTGCTCCAGTCCAGTCCTGGGTCCCTGCTGTCCAGGGGCTCCGCTGCAGGCCTAGGGAGGACTGGGGCCGGAGGCGGGGGGGAGTGGTGGGCGGAGAGAGTGGGGGAGGCAGATTCTGGTAGTTCATCTCCCTCTACCCCTTGGTGAGGCTCCTGAAATTTCCACAAGGCCCCAGGGAGAGCCCAGCAGCGTCAGCAGAGTTCCCCTTCAGAGCTGGCCTGCGACTCGGGGAAGTGCTTCACTCTGGGCCCCTGGGGTTTCCCTGGGCTCCGGGGGAAGAAGCCTTGTCCCGCTAATAACTGGAAAGTCGTCACGGGCCCCCTGCCTCCCCCCATGCCAAGGCCCAGAGGTCCTCGTCATGCCAGTGCTTAGGGTCTTGGGCTCAGAGGACGACGTTCTGGCCTAGCTTGGTCACTGAGCAGCTGCAAAACCCCGAGTGCTGGTCTCAGCCATGAAACGGGGGAGGGGGAGGGGAAATAAAGCCCCTCTGGCCCAGGGTCTCTAAGCAGAAGAGAAAAGGTACATCAAAGCACGGCTCCCCATCCTCCAGTGCGGAAATCGTCCGTGGCAACAGACAGAAGTCAATTTTTGTTGTAGCAGATTCCTAGGAGGGGGGAAACCCTGGGAGGTTAAGGGAACAGGGAAAAGGGAGAGCAAGCAGGGCGAGGGGCACCACGGGCTCCGAGGTCTCCTGGGATGCGGACGTGTATATATCTGAGTAGCCGGGTGCCCAAGGACCGAGCGGCGCGAAGCAGGTCCAGGGGTGGGAGCGCTCAGGAAGAGTCCTGGGGCGCAAAGGTGGGAGGGGGGCGTTTGGGCAAACACCTTCCCTTCAGAGCTGGTGCCCGGCTTCCTCTCCCAGTGCACCCCCTCCTCCCAGCCGGTCCCAGCCCCGGGCCCGCCCAGCCTGCGCCCCGCGTGAGGCCGCGGGGGCGGCGCCGGCGCCTTCCTGCTTTGCCCTTGTATGGTGACCCGGGAGGCCGTCCCACGGCTACTTAAGCCCCAGCGCTGGAGAGGGCGCCCGGAACAGACGGTTCGGGTAGCGCGGCCGCCGTGGGAGTCCGGAGCGCTCGCGGGGAGAGGGGCAAGGAGAGGAAGAGGTGCGGGAAGAGGGGAGAGGAGGCTGCCCGGGGCCGACAGACATGGGGCTGGAGGCGGCGCGAGAGTTGGACTGCACGGCGCTGGGCGCGCTGCTGCGAGAGCCGCGGGAGGCTGAGCGCACGCTGCTGCTCGACTGTCGCCCCTTCCTGGCCTTCTGCCGCCGCCACGTGCGCGCCGCGCGGCCGGTGCCCTGGAACGCGCTGCTGCGGCGCCGCGCGCGCGGCACCCCCGCCGCCGCCCTCGCCTGCCTGCTGCCTGACCGCGCGCTGCGGGCGCGCCTGGCCCGCGGGGAGCTGGCGCGGGCCGTGGTGCTGGACGAGGGCAGCGCCTCGGTGGCAGAGATCCAGCCCGACGGCCCGGCCCACGCGCTGCTTGCCGCGCTGCTGCACGAGACCGGCGCCGGACCCACCGCCGTGTGCTTCCTGCCGGGTGAGCGCCGGCCCGCCCTCGCCCCCCGCCCCCGTCCCCGACCCGCGCCGGGCCCTCCCGGCTAACCGTGTCTTGGTCCTCCTTGCAGGAGGCTTCGACAGCTTTCAAGCCTGCTGCCCCGATCTGTGCTCTGAGTCCCCCGGCCCCGCGATGCCACCCGAAAGCAGCCGCTTCGACCCCAGGGCTCCCTCGTATGACCAGGTGAGTTGAGATCAGGGCTCCTTGTCAGTGTCATGCAGGGTAGGCCCCTCTGGGGAGAGTCTGCCATTTGTGGATGCAGGAGTCTGTCCATGTCCACGGTCACCTAAGGGTGTGTGTGTGTGTGTATGTGTGTGTGTGTGTGTGTGTGTGTGTGTTTCCGCCCCCAAATGGGAGCACACCTTTGTGTGTGCCTGGCGGGCGTTGCTGGAGTGCATCCCTGTGAGTCTGCGTATGTCCTGTGAGCAGCAAAATTTGGGGATTTGAGGGGAATGTGCGTATCTTTGTGTGTGTATCTCCGTATGTCCCCTTGGGTCCTCCTGTTATTCCGGGCTCTGATCCTCAGACAGGGATCCCTGGCTAAGATGCCTGGGCCAGTCTGCCTTGTCTCTGTCCCGCTGGTGTTCAAGCCCTCCAGGCCTGGGCTGAGACCTCACCACTGTCCCTCCCCCTTCCCGTGCAGGGTGGCCCTGTGGAGATCTTGCCCTACCTGTACCTGGGCAGCTGCAGCCACTCGTCGGACCTGCAGGGGCTGCAGGCTTGCGGCATCACAGCCGTCCTCAACGTCTCAGCCAGTTGCCCTAACCACTTTGAGGGCCTGTTGCGCTACAAGAGCATCCCGGTGGAGGACAGCCAGATGGTGGAGATCAGCGCCTGGTTCCAGGAGGCCATTGGCTTCATTGGTAAGAGGCGGGCCTCAGCCTCAGGACCTGCTGGAGCTCCAGGGGAAGGGGCTGGGGCACCTGTCTCCTTCCCTGCCCACCTTCCCGTCTGACCCCCCTCTCCCATTTCCCTCGCAGACTCGGTGAAGAACAGCGGAGGCCGGGTGCTGGTGCACTGCCAGGCGGGCATCTCGCGCTCTGCCACCATCTGCCTGGCGTACCTGATACAGAGCCACCGCGTGAGGCTGGATGAGGCCTTCGACTTTGTTAAGCAACGCCGGGGAGTCATCTCCCCCAACTTCGGTTTCATGGGGCAGCTGCTGCAGTTTGAGACTCAGGTGCTCTGTCACTGAGGCTGGGTCCCACCATGCTGGCTCCCCCAGGGCAGAGGCACACAGAGCTGCCTGATTCCTGGGGACACTGGGGGCCCCAGTTCCCCACTGTCCCCCTCCCCTCAGGGAGATCTGCCCCTTCCTTGGAGTTCAAAAAGCCCCCAGGTGGGCACGCTGGGTGCAGGGATGCTGGACTTTCTCACCTGGTGCTCTTCTGCTGGGGGTTTGAGGGCTGGCCCTCATTCCTCATTCCGGAAGGAGGATGGAGGGCATGTCTGCTTCCCTCCTCCCCTGTCCTCTGACAGAAACCAACTGGACTCCACACCCACGACTCCCACTGGTCCGATCACCATATTGGAGCCCTTGGCAGCCTGAGGGCTCTAAGGAACAAGCTGTGACAACCAGGAGCCCTGTGTGGAGCTCGGGGAAGTGATGCGGATGCTGTGTCTGGACCTTTTGCTTGCGTGTGTACGTGAGCGTTTCACACCTGTGTTGGCGCTGGAAAGTTATTTGTGTTCAACTGACATTTAACACTCCCTCCCCCACTTCCTCCCAGCCCTGTGGGCGGGGGTGGGAAACTTAGCACTTTATATTTATACGGAACATTGAGGATGTGTCAATAAAATATTGTTTTGTTTAAGAAACAACTTCTCAAGTGTCTGATCTCAAGTCAGTGCCTGGGGAAGTGCTCAAAAGCTGTTTCTTTTCTTTTTTTGATAAATTTATTTATTTATTTATTTTTGGCGGTGTTGGGTCTTCGTTGCTGTGTGCGGGCTTTCTCTAGTTGTGGCAAGCAGGGGCTACTCTTTGTTGTGGTGCGCGGGCTTCTCATTGCGGTGGCTTCTCTTGTAGCAGAGCACGGGCTCTAGGCGTGCGGGCTTCAGCAGGTGTGCCGCAAGGGCTTAGCTGTTCCGCGGCATGTGGGATCCTCCCGGACCAGGGCTTGAACCCGTGTCCCCTACATTGGCAGGCGGATTCCTAACCACTGTGCCACTAGGGAAGTCCCCCAAAGCTGTTTCTTTATCAGACCTTCCCTTCCCTTGTGTGGCGGGGTCTGGGAAATGGAAGGAGGAAGGTGCAGGGGTGACCTCACCGTGCAGCCCGGTCCTCCCTGTGCTGGTGTCCTTTCCTAGGCAGCCTTCTGTCTCCAGAGCTGAAAGTGATGGTTTCTGGGAGGCTGGCTCCAGCCTTATTCCAGTTACCAGCTTTGGTCCTGTGGGGAGAAGACTGTGTTTACCATTCAGAGCTGGACTCAGCACTGCCCTGGTCAGACCCCACTTCCTTTTTGGAGCATGTGGATGGACGTGTGTGTGTGTGTGTGTGTGTGTGTGTGTGTGCGCAGCCACATGTGTGGCTCTTCCTCTGGGCGTGGGTGTCTGTTCTTGGCCTGCACACACCTATGTGTCTCAGATGTTCCTACATGCCTGCATGTCTGCGTGTGCCCATGCGTGTGGCTTCCCTGGGCTGTGTGTAACGTGAGCCCACATTGAGGCAGTGCAGCCTGTCACCTCTTCTCCTACACCTCCGGGCTGGGTCCCCAGGCCTCAGAATGCCTGTCCCTGCCGAGGGTCATGGCAACCCCTGATCCAGAGCTCCTTCCTGTCCCCAGAAAGCATATGGCCTGGTGTCTGGTACGGAGGACAGGTCACCTGGGATGGGCTTAGTTGTTTCTCACACCCATCAACCACCATGTCTTCACTGAACATTGGTTACGTGGGCCAGCGTGGACCGCCGATGAGACATGGGCCCAGCCTGAGCCAGGAGTGGAGGGTGCTGGAAAGGGGGTGCTGTGATTTGCCCAAGAGCAGGGGGTGCTGAGGCCCTTGAGGACAGCTCAGCATGGGCAGGTCCTGCATCAGCCTCCGCACTGATGCTCCCAGCCACTCGGAGTGTCGTGTCATCTGGCTAACTCTGTTTTGTCCTTCCAAACTCGGTGCAGGCGTCACCCCTGCAGAATGGCGACTCTTGCTGCAGGTGTTCTGAGTGCCTGGCAGGGCGCACCTGAGTAGGGCAGTGTAGTTTGACAGTTAGGGGGCCTGTTTTGCTTTACCTCTCTGTGCCTTAGTTTCCTTGTCTGTAAAATGGGGTTCTGTCATTAGCTCCCACCTCTTAGCATGGTGTTGAGGGTTACTCCAGTCAATCCAGGTAAATGTTTAGCCCAGGAAATGTTAGTTACTGAAGGTCCAATAAGCGAAGGTCTTCAGGTGTGTAGTTGTGCACCTCGACCAGCCTGGACGCTGGTGAGGGTAGGGCCCGTGGTCTGCTTGGCTCTGTGCCCAGAGTCTGGCAGGGGTGGGTGCCCACTCCGCACGGCTGAACGAGGGACGAAGCTTGCCCGCTGTGCCTCGTTCCCTCTACTCTGGGGGGGTGTGAGGTGCTCCCTGGCGGGGACTGAGCAGAGCTAGGGGTTGTTAGCAGGGCTTCTGAAGGCCCTGAGTGGGTCTGTTTGGACCTGTCCACAAGGCCCACACCCAGCTCGGGGAGGGTGGGGGGCGTCTGGGGCCCTGAATAATCAGAGCCTTCCCGCGCCCCAGGTACTTCTATACGAAACAGGACTGGTGGCTGCGGCCGCTGCCCGTCGCCTCTCACCCCTGCCTCATCGCATCCTGTCTCCACCCCACCATCCTGCACCCTCCCCTCCCCGTGTTTTTAAGTTGGCCTTTCAAGCAAACTGCGTTTCTTTCCCTTCTTTTCTTTCCCTCCCTCCCTTCCTTTTAAATTAAAAATTTAAAAATTGTGGTAAAAAATATGTAACAAAATGTACCATCTTTACCATTTTTAAGTGTGCACTTCAGTAACATTAAGCGTGTTCACTCACATTATTGTGAAACAGATCTCCAGAACTTTTCCATCTTGCAGAATTGAAACTGTACCCGTTAGACAACAAGTCCCCATTTCCCTCTCCTTCCGCTCTTGGCAACCACTGTTCCACCATCTGCCTCTGAATATGACTTCTCCAGATACCCCATGTAAATGGACTCATACACCATTTGTCCAGTTGTGATTGGCTTATTTCACCGAGCACGATGCCCTCAAGACAAACTGCCTTTCTTAACTACGAATCTGTTTCTCTACCCGAGCAGGGTGATTATGATTGTTTTACCGAGCACTCATCTGAAGCAGTCAGCTCTGTCCATCCCTACGAATGTTAACACCCTGCCTGGGCAGCTGGACCACCTGTCTTCATCATGTTCTCCCCATGATTCTGACCCCTACCTTTTGAGAAAAGTGGATTCCAGCCAGGGCAAGACGCAGAGCGACCTCACCTCTGTCGTTTCCCTTCACTGGACGTTGGTGGGGAGGGTGTCCCCAAATCCTTCAACTCCAGGATTTAAATCCAGGTGGGCCCTTGGTGACCAGGCTCCGAGGATGGGCCTTTTGAGAGGCCAAGGGGTACAGAGGAGGGGGAATATGGGTAAGGAGCTTTAATTCCTGCACCTGTGAAATGGGGCTAAAATGCCGATTTTGTAAGGCTGTTGTGGGAGTGACAGGGTAGCACCCATGTGAGGGTCTAGGTACCCAGAAGATCCACTTTTCCACAAGGCAGGCTTCTCTGGGGGCGCTGGTTGTCCCTGGTGTTCAGTTTGTGGGTTTCACTGCTCCCGGCTCTTGTGATTGTTTACTGTTCTGTGTGTATACTACAATAAAAGCTTATAAAAACGTAGTGAGATTTTCCTCCTTCCACAGTCAGACTGGGGGCGCCTCAGGGTCTCAGGTACTCTTCCCCACATCTGAGCACAGGGCAGGGGCAGGAAAGGGGTCTCCCCTGGTTTGAGGATGAGGTTCCACCCAGCACTGCCGTCTCTCACTTTTCTGCGACGTTTCTCTGCCCCCTGGTGGTAGGAGGGGACCTGAGAAGAGATACACCCCCAAGTGCGCGGCTTCTCCCCATCCTCTCGCCCACTTCAGCCAAGCTGGGAAGGATCTGACCAGGACCCAGAAGCCTCGGGCAGGTAGCAGAGTGTGGGGCTGCAGGTGGGGTTGGTTGGGAGGGGCTACAGGTGAGGGCTGGAAAAGCTGCTATTTAAGGGGGGGGGGCGTTGACCATAAGTTTGTAATTAGGCTGCTGCCTCATCTCGTGGGAATTGGTGCTCCTGCTAGCTGAGGGGCCAGAGCGGCCCATCTCCGGCAGCATGAGCATAGGAGGCCTCTGGCCATGGGTGCTGGCTCTGCTCTCTTTGCCGGGTAAGTGGGTTGCCTCGCCCTACTGCCCCCGTCGTTTTGGTTCTAGCCTGCGGAGTCCTGGGGGCAGCCAGAGGGTGTGGCTGGAGCCCGCAAGGGATGCGAATTGATCTGGGATGTTCCTAGAAGCCAGCTCCTGGGGGGCCCGGGGAGGACCTCCGGAGGACGCTAGGAGCAGAGGGTCTGCCTGGCAGGAGAGAGCAGGAGTGACGCTCCAGGCGTCCGAGCTCTGCTGGCCATGTCAGGCCTGCCCAGGCTGAGCCCATTTCCAGACCCCTGGGCTGACGAGGGGGGCAGGGGGCAGGGTCTGAGGCTAGCCCGCACCCAGCTGTCAGCGTTGGAGATTGAGGTCTGTCCCCATCTTCCTCACTCTTGCTGCCTCCCCTGCCTCATACACACCCAGACACTTGGAGCCTGGGGCTGCCTCTTTTTTTTTTTTTCCCCTTT